GAAAACTTACTGTGAAATGGTATGTACAATTTAGAAAACTATATTAACCATTCATCTCTCTGTAGTGACATTTTTAGTACCTTTTGAGGTGTGACAAATCTTGAGACTCAAACACATGTTCAGAAAATGGTAAAGTATATTCAAATTCGAACACATTGAAGGTAATTCATAATTTAATTTTTTTTTCTAAAATAAAAAAATAAAAATTGCATATTAGAACTAGAATGAAAAAATAAATAAAATATTGAATTTCAATACACTTTTAAAATAATACGTAATAAAACATGTAACAAATGGTTAGGAAGGTGGTAATAATAATGGTTTTGAAATTAGACTAGGAGCCCAGAGATTCCAACCTGAATCCAAAATATCTTGCAGTACAAGTACAAGGTTTCTAGATTACTGATGGCCATAAAACTCAAGTACAAATGCTCTTCCAATTCATCAACCAGTTCTCTAAATCTTGCGTCACTCATTTTCAGCTGCCGCGCCACTTATTCTCCGGGTTGGAGCCGGTTTCTCCCCGCTTAAGCCAAAATCTAAGTGTGGCTTGCATATTCTCAAGTTCATCATTTAGTTAACCCATTTTGCAACTGCATCAGGAGCCAAGCCATAGTGTTCTCGAGCTCGACTCAGCTCAAGTGATAGAATGCTCAAGCTTGACTCGAGCTTGAGCCGAGCCAAGAAAATTTGGTTCAAGCTCGGTTCGGCTCTGTTTTGTTCGACGAGTCTCAGACCGAGCTCGAGCTATTTATTTTTTATTTTATTATTATTATTTTTTTTGTGGTATTTCACATCTAACAGATCTAGAACAAAAGATAAAAAAATAAAAATAAAAAAAATAAGAGAAATAGATTTGTAGCAATAAAAAGAGAGAAGTTTGAGAGAAAAAGAGAAAAAAAATGATAAATTTGATTGAAAATTAAACTTACCAGAATTGATTTTGATGAAAGAAGTTGAGAGATGCACAGATCAATAGTAAACCCCAAAATCTATACTAAAAATCAATTTAGATGAAAGACGATTAATACATAAAAATCAAATATCAGGAGAGAAAGAGAGAGAAGTAAGATTCCATGACAGAAAATAGATTGTTGAGTGTGTTGCCGCTAATGCTTAGGCTACTGATAATTTTAGAAAAAGAAAAAATGATTAGGGTTAGACATAAGACATGAACTTGGGTTTGATTGTACAGATGGACTTGTGTTTGATTGTACAGATGGGCTTGGTTTTTGTTTTAAAATAAATAAATTATAAAATTGGGTCTAAAACATGACTTAAAAATTTAATGGGCCTGTGGACTAAGCCTTCATAACATAAAATTAATATATTATAATTGGATATGTGTGTGTATATATATAGATATATTATAATCGAGTATGTTCGCGAATATAAGCTTAGTTCGTGAATGGTTCATGAACAAATGAGCCTAACCTACTGATGTTCAGGCTTGGCTCGTTTATGAATCGAGCCAAGTAATTAACGAGCTGAGTCCGAGCAGTTCCCGAACGGCTCAGTTCATTTGCAGCCCTATGCATCAAGTTGAGCTGACAACCTAACTAGTTTTCTCGTCGAAATTAGCTCAACTGAAGTTACTATAATACTTGGTGCAGCCACTAGCATTGTTAAACCATGACCGTCAACAATTAATGTCAATGATGCTGCATGTTAAAGCCACAAGAAAAATAGTTAAGCCACATTTTATCATTTTTTTTTTAGTTCGAGTTTGGCTCAAACTTTGTCACGACTAGATTCAAGTCGTCTGATTAATACGAAGCAGCTGCCTGTCTTGTATGACTTGAACAGGATGCGGGATGCAGAGAAGGAGAAGATGAGTCAAATGGGTTAAAAGAGTTGGAGAATTCGGTTAGGCCGGTTAGAACTTTGGATAAATGACTTATATATGAGAAGTGAACGATTTTAAGGATTCTAAAATGTTTTTGATAGATCGATATTTGACACACGTATGGTCAATATCCTTTTAGCAAAAGGCCTTATAGGAGAGCCTAAGCTATTTGGAAGAAATAATCAAATAGGAGGGTGTGATATTTAAGATGATTTTGGGCCGAAGCCAGGATCCGAGTTACAGTGGGTTGTTCTAGATCCAAAGAAATGCTCCACGAAGCACCGGGAGTTGATAGGATGGGAGCCGAGCCAAGCTGCTGTACTGAAACCAATGTATCACATGTGGCAGATCTCCATTCCTTAATGCAAGCACATTGGCCTTGTTGGATTTGGTACGAAATGCATTAGCATATTCTTTTAAGACAATACTTGCATATTTACCGGTGAACAGATAATCCCCACTAACAGATCCAGTCACTCATGTATACATAATTTGTAATTATAAAATCAGAAAAAAAAAGAGAGAGGATGACTAAATTTATTTTTTAAAAAAAAGTTATTTCCCTTATATAGCACTTTCTTGATTTTGTAATTAAAGACAATTGTAATTGTACATCAACGGTTAATAAATATCATCTACTCAGTTGTAGGGAGAAAAAGTGAATTGAGTTTTGAAGATACCAAGTACGGCGCGGATCGGATACGGCCCACATGACACAAAATGGGTGAAGTAGGTGATTCTGATCCAAACCAACCATTCTCAAGCTAGGCCCAAGATTCAACAGTGATGCTGATGGCCTGCTAAAAATAATCGAGTCCATGTCAAGGGAAGCCCGGAACATGGCCCAGTGCAAGGAATTAATTAGGAAACCTCTAGGACCATTGTAACAGTCTATAAATAGACTGAAAATAGAGGGAAAGAGGGGAGAAAAAAATATTAAGGTCTAATGAAACTCTGTTGAAATGAAATGAGAAATTTCTTGCATCTTCAATTGGCGCCGTCTGTGGGAAACGTTGAAGATTGACTGATGATCGGTCAAGAGTGATTCGATCGCGAGTGATTCGTAAGGAAGAAGCTAAATCAAGATCGGTAAAATCGTTATCTGTTATACGAAATTGAAATTCTGATTGTTTGTGAGAGATTCGCGTTCGATTTACGCAGATCTGATCTGTGCCTGTTCAGTACATCAACACGATTGTGTTTGGTTTGACGGAAATAAACCTGACGAGTTCACAGTGGAAGAAGTTCGGATCTGGCCTAGCAAGATCGGAATTCAGTTGATTTGAGTCTAGATCTAGTGCGATTGCATTAGTGAAACTCAGATCTGATTAGAAATTTGCAGTTAATGACTTTGCTCTGGTTAGGAATGATGATCGGAGGTGAAAGCTCAAATCCATTGGATAATGGCCAACAGTCGAAACTTGATGAGTTAATGAGTGTAATCAAAGCATTAAGAAAAGAGAATGCAGAATTGCGAGCTGTAATGGAGTGTCGTAAGGCTCCTGCTCTTCTAAGGCCACCTCCAGTAGGAAAGGGAGTTGTGTTATCCAGTGCTGCTCATCACGATGATCCAGAAGGAAACAATCATATGGATCTTCATTGCAAGGAGATTGTGCCAAGCGATTTACCTCCAAATGTCCATCAGATGGAGAAACGGGAAGGATCTATCCACTTGGATCCGCATCGCGAACGGATCATGCGAGAAGAAGCCGCTGTTTTTGATCCAACTCCGGAAAGGTTACGACATGATGAAGCAATAAAGTTTGGCCATCATGGAGCTCCATCGCCGTGGCATAGGGGATTCACAGATGTCATATCGTTTGATCCACCCTATCGGCCTTCAATGACGACGTATGATTACAGGAGTTCAGAAAGAAAATCTGCAGATCTGAGGATTCCACCATAGTTTTCAAGGGAGAATAAAGCACTCCGTTCCTCCGCAAGAACGATTGCATCACTGTTCACTAGCGAAATCCTGAACGCTCCAAATCAGAGGAAGTTTTCCATGCCGATTTTCATTCTGTTCGATGGAACGACCGACCCGATCGATCACATTTACCACATTCAGTTAAAAATGGCTTTGAATACGAACAATGACCCTCTGATGTGCAAATGCTTCCCTACATGCTTGGTAGGGCCAGCCCTCAACTGGTTCAAGAATCTGACTCAAGGCTCAATCGCTAGCTTCCAAGACTTGAGTGATAAGTTTATCAGCCAGTACTACGGGAATAAGCGCCCAGCAAAAAATGTTTTAAGCCTTTTCACTATGAAGCGGCATGAAGATGAACGGCTTCAAGCTTTCCTCACCAGGTTCAATCTTGTTAAGAGCATAGTAATGGAATGTTACTCGTCCACGGCGGTTCAATCATTCAAACTGGCCATGAATTGAGGGACACCATTCCACACAAGCTTGGTGGTGGATACACCGAAGACTATGGATGAGCTGAATGAAAGGGCTGATGGTTTCATGCATTTGGAAGAGGAGGAAGTAGCTAATGCAAGAAAAACGTCGATTATCTTAATAGAGGAGAAGTTAAAAACCAAGATTTGGCAAAAACAAGCTCCACCACAACGTCAGACCTCTTGGAAGGTAGAGAAAAGGCCCAAAAAATAAGAGCTGGTTACTCCCCTCAATGTCACTCTAGCACGACTATATCAAGAGAACAAAGATAAGTTTTATCCTCCATTACTAATCAGACAACCTCTTGAATAGAGGGACCAATCTAAACATTGTGCTTTTCATAGTGACTTTGGTCATCAGATTAATGAGTGCAGGAACTTAAGGAGGCAAGTGGAGATGTTGATTGCAAGGGGAGACTTTGCAGGATATGTTCAAGGGCCAGCACAGGAGCAGAGTCGACCAGCTGAGCAAGTCAAAAGAAATCAGAAACCGAATCACCATAACGCTCAGCCCATTCGGATTATAAATGCAATTCATGGCTAACCTGAACAGACATCAAAGTCTGAAGAGTTGCTCCGAATGCGTCTCCGTTAAGCACAGATGAAGAGAAGGATAGGTAGCGTGAACACTCTGTACCAGCAGCGTGCATCAACACATATAAAGTTCAACAAAACGGATTTGCTTCAAGTTTAAGTTCCTTATGAAGATCATTTGGTTGTTAGCTTGACAGTCACCGAATGCCTAGTGCGAAGAATGCTAATTGATCCAGGGAGCAGTGTAAATGTTATACCAAAGGTCACTTTCGATCGGCTAGAGATCAAGCCGGAGGCGCTTCAATGCACTGGAAATTCGTTGTTGGGATTCGATGGAAAACGAGTAAAACCGATCGGCACAGTAGAATTATTTGTCCGAGTTTCCGAAAGGGAACTTGTTGAAAGCTTTGTAGTAGTTAAAATCCATCCATCGTACAATCTGCTAATGGGAAGAGGGTGTATTCATAGGGTCCAGGGAGTCACATCGACCTTACACCAGGTAATGCAATGTTTGAATCCGGATGAAAGCAAGGTGATTGATATCCATGAGGATCAAGTTACTGCCAAGGAATGTTACTTGGTGACTCTGAAAGCCGCAGGGAAGGGAAAAGCTCTCATCCGCTCTGTTAGCCCAGCATACAATTACATAAGTCTCCCCCCAGCACGAACGAGGAGGAGAAGCCCTCGGTGTTGACCGATGAACCTTTAATTGATGTCCAGATTGATCATTTAAGGCCAGACCAAACCACGAAAGTGGGCTCAGGGCTTGCAGAGGAAGAAAAGTGCCAGTTAGTTGATATCCTCTCCCGGAATGCAAATGTGTTCACTTGGAGCCATTCGGACATGTCGGGGATTGACCCTCTGTCTTTTGTCATTCCCTCAATGTAGATCTGAGCGTTAAGCCTGTACGATAGAAGCAAAGGAGGTTCGCCCCGAAGCGCAACCAGATCATCGCTGATGAAGTTGATAGATTGCTGGAAGCTGGGTTCATCATAGAGGTTCAATATCCATCCTGGCTGTCGAACGTGGTTGTAATGCAAAAGAAGAATAGAAAGTGGAAAATTTGCATTGACTTCACCAATCTGAATAAAGCCTGCCCGAATGATAGCTTTCCATTTTCAAAGATTAATCAGATGGTGGATGCTATGACTGGATACGAACGACTGACCTTTATGGATGCTTATTCAGGCTACAATCAAATCGCAATGGATCCGAACGATGAGGAAAAGACTTCTTTTGTCATTGAACGAGGGATCTATTGTTATAAGGTCATGCCGTTCGGTCTGAAGAATGCCAGAGCTACATACTAGAGGTTGGTCAGCAGGATTTTCAAGAATCAGATGGGCAAGACTGTGGAGGCTTACATCGATGACATGGTAGTAAAGAGCAAACAGAATGACCATCATTTGCAACATTTGCAAGAGCTTGTTCGGAATGCTGAAAAAATATGGAATGAGGTTGAATCCAACCAAGTGCTCGTTCGGCGTAGGATCTGGGCAATTTATTGGCCACATAGTCAACAACAAAGTGATTGAAGTTAGCCCAACCCAAGCAGAAGTTCTACTAAAAAATGCAGAACCAAGTACTATCAAGGAAGTACAAGCTCTCACTGGACGTATAGCAGCACTGAGTAGATTCATCTCTAAGTTGTCAGACCGATGCAAGCCATTCTTTGATACAATAAGAAGTCACGGAAAGCAATCCTGAGGGGATGAGCAGAGGCAAGCATTGACCAGGTTGAAAGAATATATGCGAAGCCCACCAGTCCTGACTGCCCCAAAAGCAGGAGAGAAGTTTTTCCTATACCTTGGGGTTTCAAACGTTGCAACTAGCTGATCAGTTGATCAACTAATATCAACCTTCGCAATAGCACGAATCATTGTAAAATAGGGCTATTGGTCGGGTAAGTCGAACCACTAGGACTGCGCTAATCTATGGCAACCTAAGTGTCTAGAGTCATTTTAGAGTGATAAGGGGTGTTCATGGAGGGTTTGTTTTGTTTGTCACTAAACTACAAATTCAGAATGCATAAAACAATAAATTGAAGGAGATTAAAAGGGAAAATTTAGAGAAGGAAGTCTAGGGAAGTGAATACACTCCAAACCTCTACACAAGCTAATTATATGATTGATTTGGGGAATTAATGTAGAAATGACCTTGATATATAATAATACATGACTACTATAATGTCTTCAAGAAATTCAATTAATTAAAGAGTAAGAACAACCTATCAAAGCTTCACATGGTTGAGTTACCTAAACTAAGATGCAACCCTAGACATGCTCACTAAGCTAGAGATTGTCAAACAATTAATCAATTGGTGGAAGCACATGATATCAAGTCACAAGATTAACTCATCAAAAGAAATTCTTAAGCTATGGATTAACAAACTACTCAAAACCATGCCATTAAAACCGTTCCATAATCTTAGTTCCATTGTCACTATGAAACTATAAGCCATACAACTATGAGATTAAATAATCTAAGACAAGAGTATGTAAATCAACATAGTCATTCAAACATTCAAAATCTTCATTACAATTTGTAACATGCTCTAGACCATGGAACTAGCCAAATATACATTTCATTCCCCAAAATAAATCAAAAACTAGACATGCTTACAAGGTAGAGCTTCATCACCTCCCTAGATGGAGGTTTAGTTACCCATTGATGCACTAGAGGAAGGAAGAAGCAAAGCCTTGACCTCCATTTTCGAGCTCCCCTCTTCTAGCTCCAAGAACACACCTTTTTTGCTCTCTTCTCTCTCCTCTATCTTGCAAAATGTAGCTTAATGTATTGTGTCGCTTCCCTCTCTTATCTTCTAGAGATAAGGCTCAAAAAATCCCCACCAACCAACATCTCCAACCAACCATTAAAGAGGGAAATTAGAATTGAGGAACCCAAGATGCAAGTGGCTAAAAATGGGCCATTTACGGATGCAATTCTGCCCTAATTTCGAGCACTCGAAATAAGGGCTCGAGCACTCGAAATTGGAGCAGAATGCTCCATTCTTGCCTTGCTCCGCCCAGACCTACTTCGGTTAAACAGCCATAACTTTGCGCTCCAAACTCCGAATGACGAACCGTTTAAAGATTTGGAGAGCTGATTCAGAGCTTTAAAAACTTCATGTTTTGATGAAGACCCAAATCTCAAGTCTGGTTGGTCGAAAATGGGGAGAAAGGCAGTACTTCAGTGCTGCCAGGCAGTTCTGCGCACCTCTGGTAACAAGGCCATAACTCTCTGCTCCGAGCTCCGAATGATGAACCGTTTGAAGATTTAGAAAGCTAATTCAGAGCTCTAAATCTTTCATGTTATGATAGAAGTCCAGTTCTCGAGCTTTCTGGGTCAAAATGGCGAGCAAAGTCCTGACTCCACTGCTGATCTCGTGAAGCAATCTGCCCTAATTTCGAGCACTCGAAAATTGGCCAGAATGCCCTATGCTTGGTTTGCTCCGCCCGGACCTACTTTGGTAAAACAGCCATAACTTTGCGCTCCGAACTCCAAATGATGAACCGTTTGAAGATTTGGAAATCTAATTCAGAGCTCTAAAAACTTCATGTTTTGGTGGAGATCCAATTCTCAAGGATGGTTGGTCGAAAATGAAGATCAAGGCAGAATTTCATTGCTGCCAGGCAGTTCTGTGCACCTCTGGTAACAAGGCCATAACTCTCTGCTCCAAGCTCCGAATGATGAATTGCTTAAAGATTTGGAAAGCTAATTCAGAGCTCTAAATATTCCATTTTATAATGGAAGTCCAGTTCTCAAGTTTACAAGGTCAAAATGGCAAACAAAGTTCGGGCTTCACTGCTGCCAGAATTTCAGAATTGGCACCTTTGATGTTCAAAACTCCACAAAGCATCCTTCTTGCTTCTTTTTGGCCAATGGACCTGAAAATGTGCAAAAACATACAATTGGAGATATCTATATAAAATACACAAATAAAGAACTTAACTAATGCAATTTAGGGCGCTTGAATATACAAGATTCGACGTTTATCACACCCCCAAACTTACATTTTGCTAGTCCCTTAGCAAAACCAAAATGCAAAACTCAATGGAATGACAAACATGGGACTGCTACTACAAAAATATCTACCATGGTAAAATAAAATAGATACATAGCTCAAATACAACTTGAAACAGACAAAAACTGGAGATGGGGTCATTGGGAAAACTACCTTGCATATATGAAGCATTGATACAAAAATTGGCTAAATACATTTCCACATACATGCATCAACATCAAAGTCTATATAATTAACTCAATTATCATCTCTTGAATGGAAATCAACTCTAGCTTCAGTGAAAGTGAATTGGATTCTCAACATGCAGCTTTACTTTCTTTTCTAATTCCCAAGCACAAGTTTTCAAATCATTGAATTCCCCTTTAAATGAGGTCCCTAAAGCATGATTTTATTTACAAGACAACTTTTGTTGCTTGTTGACAATTTATTGCAACTCATAAGCGAAACATAGAATGGTTGTGCAATGCTAAAGTCCCTTAAGCTTTCTAACCAACCTATGTAGCAAGCGTTAGGCCAACAACTCCCAAACTAGATGGCTTTAGGGTGTTAAGTGTAGAGACACTCCATAGGGCTTAATAGCTCAAGTTGGAAAGGCTACGAACTCCAACGAACCATGTTTATTACAATTTTTTTTGAATGACCGTGCAATGTTTAAGTCCTTTAAGCTTTCTAACCAACCCTTGTAGCAAGCGTTAGGCCAACAACTCCCAAACCAGACGGCTTTAGGGTGCTAAGTGTATAGACACTCCTAGGGCTTAATAGCTCGAGTTGGAAAGGCTACGAACGTCAACTGGTCATCATTTTTTTTTCTTTCTTTCTCAGTTTTTTTTTTTTTTTTTTTTTTTTTACATTAGGTCCAACTTAAATCATGCCAAAGATATTCATCTATCAGGTTCATCAAATCAAATTAACTAGGCCAAGGTCAAGGTCGATCAAGTTGCATGCCTCACAGTTAAGTTTCCAATGTGCATCTGTGCATTGTGAAGCTTAAAAGAGTGTCAAATCCAGCGAGAATTTAATTGAGACATTTATACAGACTAATTTGAATCTACATGATCATTTCAACTCAAATTTTTCTTTATTTTCAAAAATGTCAATTGCTTCTATACACAAGGTATTAAACATATGCTTCATCTTCGACAAGTGTCAAGTTATACTATCATTGCTTAGCAAAAATTATGAAACCAAAAATGCATAAATGCACCCCCAAACTTGAATGTCACATTGTCCTCAATGTGAAAAGACAAGTAAATCAAAATAAGAGCAAAAAGGGGGGAAAGGAACAATAATACCAAGTGGAGTGACAAAGGCGAAGATGTTCAGCTATGTGAGTGCGCAACTGCGTCCCCCAAACTTGGACATGAAGACCTATCAAAATACAAGGAATATACACAGGTAAAAGCATAGGTCTCTTAAGAAAAATCAAAACAGAAATGAAAACACTAAGATGAATGTTATTGCAAGGTAAAAATCCATACAAAATACAAATTGGCACACATGAGTCATAAGTTTAAAATGGAAAACAAAATAATGCCAAAAGCCGTGCATTTAGAGAGATGAAGTTGGCTTAGGCAATTCGTCAAACACGTGGTGTGCAAGACAAAAAGGAAGAGGGCCAAAGGTTGATATGGTTGGTGCATGGTGTGGGGCATGCATGCATGGGGCTTGGGAGTTGGTTTGGTTAATATGGTGGTATGCAAAAATACCGAGAGGGGATTGTTTGCTGTGAGGATTGGGTTGGCATGGTTTATGGGTGGATGCCGAGAGTGAGAGGTGTGCAGGTTGGTGGAGTTCGAGCATGGTTTGTGAGGTGGGTTGGTATGTGGAGTTGTGGGTGGTGGCTTGGTGGTGGGTTAGTTTAGTGTGTGCAAGGTGGTGTGCCGAGGGTAGGTGATGGTTTGTGGGTGATGAAAGGGTGGCCGAGAGGTGTGGCTTGGAGTGTGGGATAAGTTAAGAGGGACGGGTTAGTGGAGATTGCATGGTGGTGAGGGTTGCTAGGGCTCGGGGGTTTGTATGGTGGATGAGTTGGTAAATGCCGAGAGTTTGGTTTGGTGAAGGAGGGTGGAGTTTGTGAGGTTGATGCCTAGAGTGAGTTCGAGGGCTCAAGATTTGTGGGTTGAAGGCTTTTCGAGCACTCGAATGGGATCTTCGAGTGCTCGAAGATCCGACAGTGGGTGCGGCACTTGGAAGAGGGCAGCTGCGAGCACTCAACATGGAGCTGAGATTGCTCGAAATTGAGGCAGAGGGTTCAAATTTTTGGGTTGGAATTTTCAAGCACTCAACTGG